TGTGATGGAACGGTGAGGTGGAAATGGCTGGGTCTTGTTTCGAGAGATTCAGCAGGGAAGGCATCTCCAAGGCCTTGGTGAGGGCTGAGTGATAAGAAAGACCTGAAACAGGGGGATCTGGATAAGAGCGTTCAGGCTGAAGGAACCTCAGCAGCAGAGGTCTGAGGCATGGAGGATCTGAGTCTAGGGAACAAGGAGAAGGAAGAATACACTAGGGGGCTGGGTAGCCACGGAGACCAAACTGCTAGAATTCCCTAGAACGGGGGAAGAGCAGATTTTTCTAAGATGCTGTGGGAAACCCTCAGAGCTTTGAACAAGCCCTCACTGTCTCCTGCCTCTGCTTTAAACCCTTGCGTGGCTGCTGTGTGGAGAACAGATTTTAGAGGAGGTCAGCATGAGTGAGACGGCTCCAGCCGAAGAGGCCGAAACCTTACGCTTTATAGAAAGACATGAAATCTAACCTCAAGAGATCAACTTCAATTTGAAAGATATCAGTTCATTAAAGAATTATAATCATGGTATACTTTGATTTCCTGAAGTTAAGGACTTTCATCGCCTCTTGTTGGAGGGAAGGAGGGAGGAGGGGGGAGGGAGGGGAGCAGAAGGGAGGAGGAGGGAGAAGAAGAGGAGGGAGATATCTCCCTGGCACCAAAGGAAGGCCATTGTCTATTACCTCAGTTACCCGAACTAGAATGTGGTAATCCTTACCTTCAGGGCTCCTCTTGGTTAGCATTCACTAAAAGTCATTTGTTTTAACTTCAGTTCAACAGAAAAATGGAAAAGATGGTGTTAAAATTGCACATTAGGAGGAAGCCACAATCCATCCTTAGTGGTTACTGTGTGGGTGGCCCCACATAGAAAATTATACACACCACTTCCTATATATATATATATTCCAATATATTTATGTATGTGTGTGCATCTTCCTTGGTTCAGGCAGCAGGCTGGCAGGGTCCTGCCATGGGTCAGTGCTCTAAATGGAGGGAGACGATGCTTCTTCCTACCTGAGTCCCAGCATTCTATGGCTTCCCTCATAAACCCAGATCTGAGATCGATCATAGAAGGAGACAGGGGCCAGCGGCACCCTAAACTTCCAGGATTGTTTTCCCAAGGAAAGGAGGTCAGTGAAAGCTTGCATAGACTCCGACCCACCTCTTCTGTGCTCCATGGGGCCACATACACTTTTGGAAAGTTTTACTAAGTAACTAACTAATTGTACACCTTTATCCTAACTCACCTTTCTGGAAACTCACCGAGCTTTCAGAAAGTCATGGGGACAAGCATTCGAGACTTCTTCAGTGGAAGTGCACACCTTTAATGGCATTCAGGTCTAACTCAGCCACCCCTCCAGGAGGGTACTGCAGATCACGCAGTAGTTGCTTTTCTCATTGCTGTGAACAAATAACTGACCAAAGACAGCATAAGAAATGGGGGTCGTTGTGCCCCCTAGTTAGAGGGCATAGGATCCATCATGGTGGGAGAGTCATTGGTCAGGTGTCTGAGGTAGCTAGCCATGTGTCTTCCACAGTCAGGAAGCAAAGCACAGACAGGAATTGGGGCTGGGCTTCCAAATTACTTCCTCCAGCTAGGCCCTAATTTGATACACCCAATGTCAAGGCAACCTTCCAGAATAGTAACTAGCAACTGGGGACCAAGTGTCTAAAGACACGAGCTGTGGGAGACATTCCACACTGAAACCTCGAGAGGGTTGACAGGGGCTGCGGGCTGTACAGCCTGAGGTAGACTCTCTCTGTGTCTGCACTTGTCGGCCGAGTTCCCCCAGAAATCCCCTTACCCTGCGTTTCAGGGATCTCATCTGTAATACAGTCGCAGCATCTGTCTTGTAGGGTGTTGCAAGGGTCCGGGCAGCAAGAGGCTATAGAGCTCTTTCCCAGCTCCTGGCACAGGTCAGCACTCTATGAAGACCTGCACCAGGCTTGTTTGAAAGTCCTCTGTGCCGAGTCTACTAAAAATGTGATCCTCTGACCAGCAGCCAAATCCTGGGGGAGTCAGACCCAGCAGAGTGCTCTCTCAGGACCCCACTCGGACCTGCAGAACCAGTGCACACCCGAGGAAGAGGCTGGGGGATTCTTGGAGTGCTCTTATCTGAATGTACACCCCAAACTGATGCTCACAGTGACAACTAGGTCCCATTTGATTGTGGAAATGTGTTGACAGCAACATGTTAGTGCCAAAAGATGTCATCACCAGAACACAGGACACACCACAGCTGGATTCACCCCACATCCTCCCCATTATTTAAATCCCAAAGACTGCATTGTTCACATCCAAAATGACACTACTTGAGGGCTTGCTGACAGGCAAAGATGAAACAATGTGAAAAACGATACAAAAACAGGAGAATTTAGTGATTTTCATCTTGTTTACACAGAGAAAGGACATTGCAATTCCTTTAGCTGGTCCTATAGTTTCGATTTTTGATTTTGCAGGAACCGACAGTGGCTGAAGAATCGGGAGCCTGGTAATTTGAGAAACCAAATGGGAGAGCTTTGTGGTTTGGCTAAAAGGACTTGAACTAGGAAACAGGAGCTATCTCACTAATGTTACTTTTAAGATTTATTTAATTTATTTTATGTGCATAGGTCTTTTGCCTGAATGCATGTCTGTGCACCACATGCATACAGTGTCCTCAGAGGCTAGAAGAGAGTGTCAGCTCTGGAACTGGAGTTACAGACGTTTGTGAGCTACCATGTAGGTGCTCAGCCAAAAGCAGCTAGTGCTCGTAACTACCAATCCATCTCCCCAGCCCTCAACACTGTTTTAATACCTTATACTTAGATCCTGTCCTGTGTCCGTGTGCCGGAAGCACAGCATGACCCGAGGCCATACCACAACATCACACGTGTTTAGTGGTCACAGAAGCCGAAGCCTTTATTATCTCCAAGCATCACAATCAAAGCAAGAAACAAATAATGTTTACTATCACATTAGCAGCAACAATTCAAGCGGGCCCTCCACCCCATATATTCAAGAGCAGGAAAACACAGACAGAGGGGAAGGCACTAGCTGAAGTTGTCTAGGGCAAGAAGGGATCTGGCAGTTGTCAGCAGCGCACAGTGATGTACAGATGTACAGGCTGTAGATCTCAGCCTGTGGTGGTGGGAGTGACTGCTTTACTTGACAAGGCGCAGATGCTGCCAAGAGGGTCATTGGACTTTAACAGCATGTCTAGCAAAGAGCAAGAGTCAAAACACAGCCTCTCTCCTAGACAATGTTGAAATAACCACTTGATAGACACAGTTACCAGGAGAGGGGGAAGGAGCTTGGGAGTCGGGAAGGAGGAGATCTGGAGGCAGACCCAGCTCTCAAGTCATCATCAATGACAACCAAGTGGTTTCTAGTGAAATGTGCATCCTCCTGCAGTCAGGGAAGCAACAGTAGAGACTTTTTTTTTTTTGAGTAACATCTACCTTGAAATGACTAGGTAGCAAAGTCCAAGGATGCAAAGGACCTCTCACTGGCCCCAATAGCACTTTGATTTATTCGGTTTTGAAGCTTAGATTTAATGAACGAAACCCCAACAATTGTGACAACCCTGACAATAGCTCAGAAAGAAGGGGATCACATATCCATACTATTTTCTTTTTGCAGGGGTAGGGGGAGGCTGGCATGCTATTTTCTTTTTGCAGGGGTAGGAGAAGGCTGGCATGCTATCTCCTTTTTGCAGGGGTAGGGGAAGGCTGGCATGCTATCTCCTTTTTGTAGGGGTAGGGGAAGGCTGGCATGCTATCTCCTTTTTGTAGGGGTAGGGGAAGGCTGGCATGGATGTGAGTGCTGGAAGGGAGAAATGAGCATCACATTGTGTTTACACAGCTGTAACCACATGAATGGAAACTCAGTCTCTCACAGTTTGTGTGTGGAGCTCTACATATAGCTGGAGGTGGTAGCTGTGAGCACGTTTGCTTGCCAGAGATCTGAGCACTCATCCTGTTCACAAGAGCCCTCCTGTATGGTTGGCTTGAAGCACAGTTACTGGTACAAAGCAGAGGAGCAGGCAGGAATCATGAGCTCTGGGTGCCCAGCAATGAGCACAGACGACACCCAGTGCAGCCTTCGCTGTTTCTTCCAGGGACCATGTGGGAGATCAGGACTCCAACTTACCCACACGCAGATCCTCACAGACAGCTCATTTGATGCCATCTTCCCCTTGCAAAGGGCCACCAGCTTAAAGATGAAGCCAAGCACAGTCACGGTTGTTAACATTCTGTATGTCTCTTCTGAGAGTTTGTCTCTAAGCCCTTTGGCTAGCTATGGAGCACCACCACCGGTACCCTAGCCCAAGTTCATGCCGTTGCAGCCACAGAGAATCTCCTTGAATGTGTTGCGCAGCTCCAGGCTTCGGAAGGCATAGATGAGGGGGTCAATGACGGAGTTGCACATGATGAGGACCAGGTAGGTGTTGAAATGTGCCGTGTAGCAGATGCAGTAAGGGTTGGTCGGGCAGGTGATGATGAGGACCAGGTGGAGGAAGAAAGGTGCCCAGCAGAAGATGAATACCCCCAGCAGGATGGTGATGGTGACAGCCCCCTTCATGCACGAGTGCTGCTGTGGGGCCACCCCATGAGCCGGTGGCAACGCAGCGATGCGCTGGACATGTAGCCTGGCGAAGAGGAACATGTGGATGTACAGGGTGCCCATGAGGAGCACCATGGCGAAGAACATAGTGATGAGGCACACGATGACCATCTTGCTCTCGGAGTAGATGATGAACATCACACCACAGATGCCACAGCAGACCCAGATGGCCACGATCAAGGTGAGGGCCTTCCTTACTGTCATGATGCTGTGGTAGCGAAGGGCATAGAAGATGGTAACATACCTGTCCACAGCGATGGCCAGGAGGTTGCAGATGGAGGCCACCAGGGAGATGCAGATCATAGAGTCGAAGATGTTGTCCATGTGCTGGATGAACTGGTCCTCCAAGGTCAGGGAGTCGCTGTTGATAATGGCGATCATGATGGTCTCCAGGGAGTTGGACACACTCACCAGCATGTCAGCTGCAGCCAGGCTACAGAGGAAGAAGTACATGGGGGAGTGCAGGTTGCCATTCCTGACCACAGCCAGGATCACCAGGATGTTTTCCATCAGGCTGACGATGCCCAGCGCCAGGAAGACCTCGGGCTTGATGAAGACCTGCTCGCAGAACCCGCTGCCGCTCCGGTTGCTGGCAGAAGGGGCTGCAGGGTGCTCTGAGAGGTTGGGCAGCATCGGATACGCAGAGAACAGGCAGCATGAAGAGTTCATGGCTAACAGAGGGGTGAGTCCCAGCTGCGGCTCCCGAGGGTCCTGAGCAAGCTGCTGGAAAACCCTCTCCTTCAAGGTGTTTCTCTTGTGGATGCTGTCCAGTCTAGACTTTGGTTTCTTGAGAGAGAGAGAGAGAGAGAGAGAGAGAGAGAGAGAGAGACTGGAGACACAGAAAGAACTTTCCCTGCGTCTCCAACAATCAGTGCAGACTAGACTCCGATCAGCTTGCCTCACCCCCTGTTGCTCCGACCTCCTCTCTCTTCTGGGCTCCTCTCACATCCCCACCCGACACCGGTTGCTACAGTTACAGCTGCACTCATAGCAAGGTAGGGGATGTGGGACTTGACGCTAGATGTGAGAAGGGAGAGCACTCGGATTTTATGCATCGGAACTCCTACTTCATCTCCAGCGCAGCAAAATGACCACTGAGCAGCTGGCACGGTCTGACTGACAGCAGGTCCGGGCTCTGGGTTCCACTGGGGAGATGTGGAAGCAGACTGGCACCCTCTGCAGGCCGGACTGTTCACCTGCGCTCCTGCTGGAGTAGTTCGGATCTGCCAGGTAAAGGGGAAACTGCGTTCATTCCTCCGTGAGTGCGTTTGTGGGTTCGCTTGGTCTTCGAAAAACAAAACTGCTGTGTGTCAGGTCTGCATTGGATGTGCAAAAGGAAGCAAGAGAGGTGCTGTCCCAGTCTTGCCCCCCCCCCGCCCCCCAACTGGAGTCTGGGGTGGAAAACGAGAAATCAGAGAATTGCACACACGTTGGCAATATTCCAGGCTTCACTCAGGAACTCCTCAGTTAAGCAAGTAATAAAACGATTCGAGTTACACCAATTTTTGTTTATTTCCAAGAACATATTAAAAAACACATCTGTACTAATAGTTCGTTAAATGTACAATGTAGTATGTCTAAGGCACAATATGCATGCCTTAATTTAAAAATAGTTTATTACTAAAACATGCCAACAATTCCCTGGGCCCTTCAAGGAGTCTCAATTTTTTTGCATGACTTGTTCCAATGTTGATGGCTTCTGATTGATTGGTCAGGGTATGATTTCTGAAGTTTGGCTAGTGTATGTATGTGTGTGAGGGGTGGGGGTGAGGCGGGGTTGGTCATTGCTCCTTTCTAAGATACATAAACACCTGATGTAGGTTGATGTGAGCACAAGTTTCCTGCTTGTGGAGAGTTGGAATGTGTAGATTCATGGCCAAATTATCTTGGGTTACTATGTGTTTTGGAGAAAGGGTCTCATGTATACCAGGCTGACTTTGAACTCACTATGTAGCCAAGGATAAGCCTAAACTTCCGATCTTCCTGTCTTTGTCTCCTGACTGCAGGAATTATAGGCATGTGCCCCTATACCTTGTGTCTGTGGTGCTGGGGATTGAACCATGGGCTTCATACTTGTTTAGTAGGCACTCTAACAACTGAGCCACATCTCCCAGCCTGACTTTGGCTATATTTAGACTTTGACTGTATTTAATGCCCAACTCTGTGTGTGATGTAGTGTCCTGTGGCTATCACCTATCACGTGGAATTTGGGAATGTGTTAAATTAGCAGATCACTAGTTTTACCCACTCCAAAGGGAAGCATCTTATCACACAGCACTATTTCTAGAGCAAAAAATCCCCCACTTTTCTGTATCCTGCCTACAAGCCATCCCCACTAACAGATTTGAAAAAAAAACAAAACCTGGGTTTAGCCGGGTGGTGGTGGTGGTGGTTCACACCTTTAATTCCAGCACTCGGGAGGCAGAGCCAGGTGGATCTTTGTGAGTTTGAAGCCAGCAAAACAAACAAACAAACAAACAAACAAACAAAAATCAAAAAACCCAAAAAACCTGGATTTATTGCTTTTTAAAATTTTGTATCTATAAAAACTCCAGGAAAACATTTACACACTGGAACCTGTTACTTGGGGCAGGCCGACTCCATATTCACCAGCTGTGGTTACTTATGTTTGGCTCCAGAATAAACTACCTCTTATTCCCTTTGAGGTGAGAGTTACATTTTGTTTTGACACCAGGAAGCCTTGGCAGGAGTGTTTTGAGTTCATGTCCTGCTTGAGCTACAGAGTGAATTCAAGGCTAACCTGGGCAACTTAGTGAGACCCTGCCTCAAAATTAAAAAATAAAATGAAGGCTGGGGATGCAGTTCAGTGGTAGAGCACGTGTCTAATATGTAAGGAGCCCCAGGGTCAATCCCCAGTGTTCCAAACCAAACCAAACACTGGACACCAATGAAGCCGCTGCGCTCAATGATTCTTCCTCTCAGCAGGGACTTTTCTCTGTGGTATTCACGATCTTCCACAGCATTTGACTCACAGCAGAACTTCTCTTCTTTGTTGCTTGATTTGCTAAATGGTATCATAATAAAAAACCCGGAACCAGCTATTGGTAAATGCTGAAAGATCAGAGAAACAAAGGAACAAGCCCCTGCCACATCTCCCCTCACCACCTCCTCAGCCGATAGGCTGCAGCTGATAGGCCTCTAGCCAAATGAGCTTCCTCAACTGAAAGGGCTGAAAAAAACTTTAGCTGAAAGGGACACTGCTGCCAAAGAGCCTTCAGTTCCTGTCTCCTCACACCTTATAGACCTTTCTTTGCCCAACCATCACTTCCTGGGGCTAAAGGCACGTGTGCTTCCCAAGCAAAGGCATGAGATCTCAAGTTCTGGGATTAAAGGTGTGTGCCACAACTGCCCGGCTCTGTTTCTCTCCTAGATTGAATCAACCTCATGCAGTCCAGGGTGGCTTTGAACTCACAGAGATCCAAATGGATCTCTGCCTCCCAAGTGCTAGGATTAAAGGTGTGTGCCACCACTACCTGGCCTCTATGTTTAATCTAGTGGCTTGTTCTGTTCTCTGATCTTCAGACAAATTTTATTAGGGTACACAATGCATCACCACACTTCTTAGATGGGCATTGTTCCTCTCGGACCCTGCTGCTGACTGACTGGCTGGGTCTGGCTGGTACAGTATAGCGTAGTGTGATGGACACACATCATTGAACTCTAGGAGCCCATGGGGCAAAGGGGAGGGGTTCTTATCTGAATGATCAAAGAACCTTCCTAGATTGAGGAATAAGTAGGTTTTGACTTCTATGGAGAGGTGATACCCAGTGTAGGGGTTGGTGAGGTGGAGGCTGGGACTGAAGAATGTAGAAGAGGATCAAGGGAGGAGTTTCATCTGGCAGGGTTGACCTAGAGGAGGGCTCTGGGGAGAGGGACTACCATGCTTGCAATCTGGAGGGAATAGCCATCGGTAGCAGGTGGGCATGACGACCCCACTTGATCTCTGAATCAGAGTCACCTGGAGTAGTATGAGCCAGGGATACAGCATTTTGTCAAACTCCTCCATTTTTCTTAGCCTGTGACAATTCTCAAAACTATAGAAATTTGATACCCAGAACTTAAGTATCTCATTTCTCTACATTCTTCCCTCCCCGTGGACTCCCAGTAATGGCCAGCCAGGCGAGATGGTTATCGATCACCTGGCATTCTTTAACTGACTACTCACTGGTTACCCCTAGCAACGGCCAACTGTGGCCAAAATAAACTTTTCAATTCAAGTAGAAGAAAATTTAGAATACTCATAAAAACTTTGGGCTGAGGAAATCATTTTAAGATGGAACACCTCTGGGTTACTATGTAAATGACTGCTAAATGAAACCAGAAGACAAGCCAGGATGGGTTCCAAATTTCTCTCATAGACAAAGCATCCTTCTATGCTAATAGAAAACAGAATTGCTGGCTGAGAAAACTGGGTAGATGGTATAAATTGGAATTCACCTAAGCAGAAATGTGAATGGATGATAAGTACATGAAAAGGTGCTAAACCATCGGGGAGGCAGGGAGATGCAGATCAAGATGGGATTTCAATACTGTTTCCCTTGCTGGATTGCAGGGAGTTAAAAAGCTGGCAAGCTCTGAAGAGCATGTGAGAACTCTCTCACTGTCTTTCCAGTGTTTGTAAACAGATCCACAAGCTGTCAGTTCCTGCTAAAACAAGACTGATCCAGGTTGGGAATCTCAGCGATTGAGCTGAGGGGTGTGAAATACCACTTTATTAATTTTCAGGCTTTTTATGTGATTTCTGATCCTAAGCCACCATTGTTCCAGTGTGTAAGAAAGCAATCTCAAACCTTTGTTGACTTCTGGTCCTCCAGGTCACATCCTGAGGTGTGTTCATACTATCTAGGTTTGTGTGTTTGAGGGCACTTGTGTCATGGACAAAGCTGGGTAACAAGGCAGGCCCGTTTGGTACCTGTGAGGTTTTTTCTGTTCTGTATTTGGCCTGGGAACATGTCCTGGTTTCCATCCTCCAGCGTGCATGTCATTTGGGGGTAAAATGGGGACTTGCCACTTCCAACCTGCATCCTCAGGAGATAGTACTTTAAAACTGCTTTTTAAAAAAATCCCCAAACAAACAAACAAACAACAACAAAATGCCTCAACACTGAATCCTTGCTTGGGCCCACAAGGTAACTAAAAGATTGGTGAAGGCGGGCCATCTCTGCCTTCATCTTGTGTCTGCCAACCTAACTAATCATAGTATCCCCCTTCAAGACTGATGACATAATGGGTAGCCACCTCAGACAACTCTTCACATTAAGAGTGAAGACTCAACAGAGTCACAGACCCCACTCTCTCCAGATGAGGGTCACTGTCCCTGAGGATGAGGCTGCATCCCAGAGCTGAAGTAACCATCTTGTAGACTGGTGACCTCTAGGGATAACACCACCCCACAGCTGAGATAGGCCAATGGTGAGCAAGAAGACACCTTGGCCAGCACTACTTAATTATGCATACCTCTAGCCTCTATTTAACTTAAAGTTCAGTTCAGCACTCGAAAGATAGACTTTGGGTCACATTGATTAAATCTCCCCTCTCTGTCTTTCACTATTACGTGTCTATTTTATTTTTTATGTATGTGTTTGTGTATGTGCATGTATGTGTGTGTATAAATGCAAAGTGCATGCATGTTTATGTATGTGCGTGTATGTGTGTGTATAAATGCAAAGTGCATGCATGTGTGCACGTGGAGGCCAGAGGTTAATCTTCAGTTTTGTTTCTTAGGTGCTCGACACCTTGCTTTTGAGGCAGGGTTTCTCACCGACCTCATTTTGAGGCAGGGTCTCTCACCCACCTCGGAACTTGTTCATTAGGCTAGGCTGGCTAGTCAGCAACCCCCAGGGATTAGATCTTCCTGTCTCTACCTCCCCAACACTGGGATTCCCATGATAAACCATGCCAAGGTTTTTATGTACTCACAGGAGTTCAAAACCAGAGCCTCAGGCTTGTACAGCAAGGACTTTCCTGACAGAGCCATTCCCCATCTTGATTACTCAGCTCTTTATTTGGTGTATTGGACTGGGTGGCCGAGCCTGGACTGTTGCAGCTGCTGGTTGGAGCTTTGGGCCTAAAACTCTGGCTATATTCCAACTGCTAAC